TCGGTCTGCACCTCCTCCCTTCAGAGACCCTGGGCCAGTCGGTCTGCACCTCCTCCCTTCAGAGACCCTGGGCCAGCCGGCTCCATTGCTCTCAGTTTATGCCCTAGTTTTTCATTATTAAGGTTTATTAAGACTTCCGTCAAGCAGAGAAAGAGGCTGCAAAGGAGGATCTATTAGACAGTGTCTGGGATTCAGGTAAAGGGCTATCGAGAGGTTAGGAGCCTTAACTGGGATGGAACTTTTTAAGAGAGTAATTATGAGAGTAATTATGAGAGTAATTATGAACTCTACTTGCTTTCCTTTGTGTACCAAATCAAGACTGGTCCCTGGAACAGAACTCAGGCAGAAGTTGAAGTAAAATAAGTAGAGCCAACAAAAAAACATTACTGTAGTTTTGGGATTAATTTCATATAAGTTTTTATCATAGCATTTCCTGTAGTTTTGGGATTAATTTCATACAGGTTCATAGAGGTACATTTCCAGCACCCATTCTGGGTTGGAATGATGCATTTATATACTTTCTGCTTTACAATCAGGTGACTGGCACAGGTGCTGAAACGGACGCACTCTCTGTTACACCCAAAACGCTGTACTCATCATATCAGCTTGATTCTTTTCAAATTATACATACAAGCAATGTGTGAAAAGTCAGTTTGGTTGTAGCAGACGTTTATATGATATCATCCATGCATAGTTGAAGAGGAGATTCACATTATTTTCAAGTGCAACTTTTTCGACTGAAAGACTGAATACGCAGAGCCTTAGCGGGTAGCAGTGGGGATTTGCATGTCCAGTGCTGGGTGGTTTGATTCCTGCACCAATTGCAGTGAGTGTGTGTGTCCCTGTGTGTGGACTACAGGTCCCTCTGTCTGGGTCGACCATCCACGCTGTGACCCTACAATGCATATGCATTTATGGAAAATGGATAGATGGACATTGAAAAACTACAGCATCTTGCTCGTGAATCATTCTTCATGTCACCCTCATTTTTTTTCTATGACAACACCAGTTAAGGTCACACACACTCTCTCCACTCAAGACTAAAGACATTTATCATATTTGTGCATGACACGAGAAAACCTTCCTTCAGAACGCAGTAAATAATGCCAGCGTATCTTTATCACAGACTGATAGGTTATAAAGGGATGTAGAATAATACATATTAGACATTACAACTGTGCAAAATGTTGGCCAGAGATACTGTATAAGATGGTCCAGACTGTCCCCCAACTCAATACATCAATACAACTAGTGGGGATGGATGCTGACCCTGTCAGAGGGCAGACAAAGCAGCCCCGACCATCGCAGTGACACTCCAATAAAACCAGCCCACAGGTGTGTTTAGCTGCTCTACAAGCAGACAGATTTCTGACAGATTTGGCCCTTTTACTATTGTATTTACAACCCACAGCTTTGGGTTTTATGGAGTAGAACGCAGCATAGGGACATAGGGAGAGGCTATTTGACTCTGGCCGGAGGGGCTTTTCTTAGTTAATTAAACAAACTTCATTAAGCAGAAACTGCACTTGCACTAAACAGTAGTTGTTGTATCGTTAAATGAGGTTTAAAGCTCAGGGAATCAGAAAGAGATTCTGAAAATAAACAGAAGCAATAATGAAAACCGCTTATCTTTCAAAACGTCCATATGTTGGGCCAACTGTGACATAAAGCATATTTTTCTTTGCAACCACATGATGGACGTACCTGAGGTAGAGCCCCACACCCACTTCCTGCAGCTCTCCGTCGCTGATGGTGAAACTGTTACAGGTGACCTGGATGAAACAAAACACAGCACACTTTTCATTTGTTTCCTGGTACTACAGTGGCACTGAGTATAGAAACACCATCACTCTCTTCTAATTAATTAAGTACAGCTCTGGAAAAAATTAAGAGCCCACAGCAAATTTTTTTGTTTCACTCATTTCTCAATTTATGGGTGTGTGTCTGTGAATAATACTTATGTTTTTGCAAACTGCAGCCTGGTTCTTCCCTGGTTCTCACTGATGAAGGGCTTCTTTCTTGCTTTATGGGACTTCAGTCCTGCTTCTAGGAGCCTGACATGAACTGTCCTAGCAGTGCACTTCACACCTGCACTTAATGTTCCCCGTTCCTTTTGAAGATCACTTGATGTCATTTTCTGATTCATGAGAAACTGTCTGATAAGTTAACGGTCATCTCTGGCATTAGAAAGTCACTTCCACCCTCTACCTGGCTGGTTTCTGCTCGTTCTCAGTGTCTCCTGCTTCCCCTTATTCTTGTGTGATGCTGCCTTAGAAATTTTGAACCTGGAAGCAACCTGCTGCTCAGCACAGCCTCCTGCCAGCAGAACCAGGATTGAACCAGGATTTAAAAATGCAGATTGTTTTTTTGGTCTCATTTTTTTTCCCAGAACTGTATTTGCAAATACTGAGAATGAACCTTAAAATGCACAAATCTTCACTGAATAACACTGCAGTATTAGCATTGCGCAACATCTCCCCAAAACAGGGTTATTATGACAATGACAATGCAATGCCAACTTCAATGGCCTTAGCCGTGTCACTGAATTGATTTTATACTGACAGAGTTTCCAGGAAACATGTTTTGGATCACTAGCAGGCATTTTGACAGTGTAACCACGGTAACAATTTTGTAACCAACAATCCTGTGGTTAGCTGTGCACACTGAATTAAAAGGGACGAGCACACTGAATTCCCTCTGCAACAGAGAAGAAAGAAGACTTGACCATTTTACTGTTCTGCATCAAAATAAAATGACAATTTAAAACACTGAAGATAATAAAATAATCCAAACAATCATAGCTTTCTTTTAGCTCTATATTAAAACAGGTGATTCTATATGAGCCTTAAAAATGCCCATCTAACAAGCTTCAAGGTTTCAGATCTTTTTTTTTGAAGATTTGAAGGTTAATAGGTTTTATAAACAGTAAGTCACATGGTGCTGATACACCAAAGGAATGATCCCGGCCAACTTCGGTCAGCTGGCTGGTGTGAGATTTTCAATTTGAGACAAGTCTGCACACACATCTACATGTATGTAAGGGTTGTATTACCTTGTAATTAGTTCTTGTACGGTTTGCAAACTGCCCAGATACCTTGAAGTAGCTAATTTTAGGCTTATCATGGAATAATACAGATTTTCTGTAAGATTTCTTGCATGAAAGTGAGAGTCAGACAGTGTGAGTGTCACGCCAGATGTGTGACAGCTGGCAATCATGCGACTCCATCTGCACCATTGTGGAGTATCTCACATTCGGCAAGTTCACCTTCAGCGGATAGGTTAGAATTTCAGGATCATGTAAAGATTTTTACAAAGCAAAGCTGCAGTTTTAATTTTTAGAAACAAATTTTGTTTATGAATTATTTAATTTGATATCTTAGAAAACAATTATTTGTATTTATTTATTTGTTTCTTTTAACAACACAGTAACCTAACTATATATGGTTATTGTGGTGTTTTAGGGTTCAGTTTGAAGGGAGTGGATTCACATTTTCAGCTGAGGGTAAATAACAACAAATAGAACATGATTAAAATCTGATTTCCTAGACTTCACAAGCACACATGCTTCTTTTCATTTTCTATTCCATTTAAAATAGAACAGCCAAAATGAGAGGATAATTTCGCTTTACTGAATGAAAACACCATGGGCAGGTACTCAAACAACAAACAAAGCAACTTAAGCAAGAAACAGAAGTTGTATTTTAGAGTCTTATAATTTATGGAATATGGAAGTCGAGCTCATCAGAAATGACAAGATATGAAACAAACCAAATGAAATCAGGTGTGAATTACATGTTATTTGGTGACAAATCTTAAGCAATTTGGCTAATCAAGAGGCATTGTGGTGTAGAAAGTACAATTGATGATATAGTGCAGCAGTAAATAGCAAAACATCCACGGCTGAGCCTTTGAAGATCGAGTTCCTCTCCATGTACTGAGGGGAAAAAGCCACACATATTGATGGGACGGATTCTCCCTCAAAAGCATGTGCTGCCAGACCGGGGCACGAGCCGTTTGTTCAAACGCAGCACCCAGCCAAGCGCCCAGTGGGCCGGCCGGTGTTCTGACCCATTTTTTTGTTTTTACAGAGTCCGGGTCTGGACTGTGTCCCTGTCCACCGGCCTCTAGTTGGGTCATGACGAAAGGGGGGGGGGGAGGCCATGCTGAGTCAAGTGCTTGTTCAGCTGACAGTCCCAGCAGAGAGCCATTGCAAAGCTAACAGAAAAGAAGACATAGACCGGCCATTTCAATCAGAGTGGATATGTGAAATGGCTTCACATTACCCAAAATGCAACTCATGATATGATAGTTCAACTAAACTCCTCATTCTACTCTGGCCTTTTATACAACATACTGATAAAACAGTGTTCAGTATAACGAGATGTTCTGCTGCAGGGCTCTCTGGCCTTATTTACAGTGAGAAAATAATCCGGGGAGTTATGCATTTGATACAAGATTACATTGACCGTATATATTTAATTAGGATCGACTTCTCAGATTATATGCAATTTATTTTGAAAGAAAAACATGCTAATACTGTAAGCTGTAAACCGCAATTAGCTTAATTTTCACAGGACAACAGTTTATCATTAAATAGTATAAAACATTATCACAACCAAAAGAAAATTAAATATCTTAAGGAGGGATGAATGAGTACTATAAAGGCAAACAAAAACAAAAAACTCAAGTTTGATATAAAAATTATAAAGTAAAACAGCTAAAAAAATAAATTACACGTTATTATCATAAGATTATGATTTACACTCAGCTTGCTAAGTAGCTATTTTTGAAACTTGACCATGAAATTAATAGGTAATATCTGAGCTGCGGCGTCATTACGGGAACTGCTGAAGCGGCGCCAGCGTTTTCGGCCTTTAATGTGGGCTTCGTGAGAAGCTGACAGACTGCATTTCCTAGTCTGCGCTGCCGACAGGACAGACGCACGTCTGATTGCTGAAGAGATGCAGTCCGTCTTCCCCTAACCAAACATCTCGTAAAAACTCCCCCACGCCCGTAGGCTATCTCCCCCCGTGCCCCATGCCGGCACAGGCAGACAAACGAGACCTTCAGATCCCATCGCTTTACCTACAGGGTACTGTGCTTCACTGATGCGAGGTGGGGAGATCCGGTTACACAAAGCCCTAATTAACGTTAATGAGCTGCATGCGTGTTTTTGACTGCAGCTGAACTGTTTTGATAACCAAATCTTCCATTTAGTGACAAACAGTTCAAAGAACTTCATGGGTCTGAACACTCAGTTATTTAAGGTGTGTTAAACAGTAAGTGTGTCTAGGAAGAACAAGAGAACATCTGAATACAGCTGTACATACAAAATATGTAACACGGATAAACGTAAACATATATTTAACAATATATATTTTAAAATATTAAATTCTATAGCATTAGTGAATAAACAGAAATTAAAAAAACATTCCGGCATTCATTAATATCCCCTATAAACAAAATAAACCTCCACCCAAATGGGAAACGTGTATTGCTATATAATAATGTGGAAGACACAAGTCATAATACGCCAGACAGATGAGGAGTATACACCATTAATCCTGGCATTTATCAGGCTTGCTTTGCCAGCTTAGAGTTCACTTGGCAGAGCAAAAGACTTTTGAAAGGTTTGAGACCTTAATGAAAAACCATTCATACAGGAAAGAAGAAGAGATGCAGGTGAGAAGGACTTGATAGTTCTTTGTAGTGCCTCAAACACGATTTTCTAAAATACAAGCGGACAAACGATTTGATTATCAGTGACAATATAATCGATGCACATCACGCTTGGTTCTTATGGCTGACCGGATGCCTTCCCTATGCATGAGTCTGTGTCTGTGTCTAATTGTATTTGTCATGTCACAGCGATTGCGGTTTTAACAGCTTTACTTGAAACTAAACAGCTATAATAATTTGGCATCCTGAATTCCCTAAAACTCATTAACAGTTCAACTATGTTTTGCATCTTATGAACTACTGTGCTACATTTTTTGTGGTTAAATTTCACAGTAAGGCTCAATTCTGCCACATATAAATGGCAGTATCTCATTAATAAAAAGAAAACAACAATAACTGCTTTATAATTGTCTATTAATGATTTGCAAAGTGTTACAAACTAATTAATAACCTGATTATAAACCATTGATAAACCCTTTATGAGGGAAGTAAATTGTAAAGTGGTACCTTCAATGGTTTCTTTACACATTGCGCTATTTTTGCATTTTGGATGTTTTATAAAATGATTTTAATGATGAGGAGGGAGGCACGGCGGCTCAGACCTCCAGGGTTACGGGTTCGAGGTGGAGGTTGAACGTTCCCCCTGTGTTTGTGTGGGGTTCCAAAGACATGCAGTTAGGCCAACTGGTGCCTCTCAACTGCCAGTGGAGCGTGACTGTGTGTGTTAGTGTGTGCATGAATGTACCTACAATATGGAGCAGCATGCAGTCCAGGGGGTACCCCAGCCTTATGCTCTGCCCTGCCTGGGATGGGCTCCAGCACCCCCCTCCCCATGACCAGGACAGGAGTTTACAACATGACTGGAAAACAAAACATACTGGACTTAAAAACTTTATCAAAAAACCATCTTGTCTGTGGCTGTTTCTGAACATGTTAACCTTCCATTAACTTATGTAAAAAACATCCATTTTCTAGTCACCCCCCATACCATAACACCATGTATAATATCCATCCGTCCGTCCGTCCGCTATTTTGCCGTATACAGCCCATCTTTTGTGGAAAACTTTAATGGCTATTGCATTTCACTAGTGTG